AACTTGGCATGCCGCTGTGGCCGCCGCTACGTACTCTGCCTCGCACGTAGATAGCGTCACGACCTTCTGTGTTCAGCGACAGCCATGAAATTGGGGCCGACCCGAGGAAGACAAGCACGCTATAGGTGCTCCGTCGTCCATCGATGTCCCCCGCCATATCTGCATCGCTGAAGACAATGAGATGCAGCCTACTTCCACCAGTCTTGGGAAAGACGATCCCCTGATCCACCGTCCCCTTGATGTAGCATAGTAGCCGCTTCACTACAGCCTAGTGATCCTCTATGGGATCCTCCATGAAGTGACTGACGTAGCCCACGGCGAATGCAATGTCTGGCCTCGTGTTGACTAGGTAGCGCAGACCGTCGACGATGCTCTGGTAGAGTGTTGCATCCACCTTCGCCGTGGTGTTGGCCTTCGTCAGCTTTAGCCGCTCCTCCATTGGAGTCACGCATGGCTTGCACTCAGCCATGCCGCTCTGCTCCAATAGCTTCGAGACGTACGTGCTCTGTCCGAGCGTGAGTGCCTCCCTCCCATGTCTCACCTCGATGCCGAGGTAGAAGGTGAGTGCCCCAAGATCGCTCATTCGAAAACGAGCCGCCATCTCACGCTTGAAGCTGTTGATGTCCTCTGCACGTGCGATGGTGACGATCAAGTCGTCCACATACATGCCGACAATGAGCTCTTCCTTCCCCCATCACCGCATGTAGAGCGCGTGCTCGGTTGCGCACCTAGTGAACCAAAGCTCACCCAGCATGGCGTCAAGCTTGGCGTTCCATGCTCGCGGGGCTTGCCGTAGCCCATAGAGCGCCTTGCGCAGTCGGAGCACTCTGTGCTCCTCTCCCTTGATGGCGAAGCCTAGAGGTTGCCTGACAAAGACCGTTTCCGCCAGCTCACCGTTGAGGAAGGCTAATTTAACATCCAGATGATGGACGCGCCAGTCCTTTGCTGCTGCCAAGGCTAATAGCAAACGGATAGACTCCATGCGCGCTACCGGCGCAAAGACTTCCTCGAAGTCGATGCCCTCACGCTGTACAAAGCCTCGGGCCACGAGGCGCGCCTTGTGCTTGACAACAGCACCGTGCTCGTCCCGCTTGACCTTGTACACCCACTTTAGGCTGATCGGACGGCATCCTAGAGGTGGATCGATGAGCTACCAAGTCTCATTTTCCTCGATCGCCTTCATCTCCTCTAGCATCGCCCATCACCAGTTTCCATCATGCTCGGCTAGCACGAACGTGGGTGGTTCCTCTACACTGATGAGTAGCAGCACAGGGTCGTTGAGCAGCCTACCTGCCAGGCATGAGGGACCTGTGCCACCGACGATGTCGTCCAGCGTGTGGAACCGCACCTTCTCACCTTCGTGGTAGGCGTCCATGAACTCAGTGATGTCACTTGGAGGTGAGGCGAACTCAATCAGCGTCGATGGAGTTCTCTGTTCCGCCTGAGTGCTCGGCTGACCACCTAGAGTGCTTGGCACCCAGGATGCAGTGCTCGGCACTACTCTTGGACAGCTCATCACAACTCCTGCAGTGCTCGACACTACTGCAGGAGTGCTCAGCCTCTGTCTTGGAGTGGTCGGCACCACTGCAAGACGTCTTGGCTCTGCCACGGGAGTGCTTGGCACCCGTCCTAAAGTGGTCGCTGCCACTGCAGAACCTCCCAGCACCACTCCTGGCATGTTCGGCATCCCTCCAGTAGTGCTCGGCACTCCTCCCGGAGTGCTCGACATCCCTCCCGAAGTGCTCGGCACTGCCCTAGGAGTGCTCGGCTCTACCGCTGGAGTGCCCGGCACCCCTCTCGGAGTGCTCGGCACCCTTCCCTAGTGTCTCCACTCCCGTGGATGACCAAGTGCTCGACGATGAAGGTGCCAGTCAAGCCGCCAGCTTCCCCTGTGCTCGGATGGCTCCAGTCCCAAGCGGCCTTCTCATCGAACACGACGTTGCGCGAGACAAGCACCTTATCTCCGCATGGGTCGTAGAGCCGGTACACCTTGGTACCCTTTGCATAGCCTAGGAACACCATCGGTGTGATCCTATCCTCCAGCTTGGTGAGGATCGACTTTGTCTTCCTGACGTGGCCGAAGCAGCCGAATGTCCTGAGGAAGGACACGCTCGGCTTCTGCCCATACCAAGCCTCGAACGGCGTCTTACCCATCAGGGCCTTGGTGGGAGCACGGTTGAGGATGAACACTACAGTGGTTACCGCCTGACCCCAGAACCTTGCTGGCATTCCCATGGCCTTCTTCATCGATCGAGCCATGCCGACCACCGTCTAGTTCCATCGCTCCACCATGCCATTCTGTTGTGGCGAATACAGCGTGGTGTGGTGTCGCACCACACCCTGTTCCACGCAGTACGCAGCGAACTCCACCGAAGTGAATTCGCCGCCACGATCAGTCCTCAGCGCGCGGAGCTTCTTGCCGCTCTTGGCCTCTATGCGCATCTTGAACTTCTTGATCGCCGTCGCCGCTTCGTCCTTGCTCGTTAGGAGTTGCAGCCACATGTAGCGACTGCAATCATCCACGAGCAGGAGGAAGTACCGCCGACCATCGTTTGTGGCTGGGGTGAACGGCCCGCAGAGATCGCCGTGGACGAGCTCAAGAGCGTCCGACGTGCGATACTTTGCCACCTTTGGGAACGACAACCTTCTTTGCTTCCTGGCCAGGCAGCTGTCACACAGCTCGCCTTCGTGCTTGATGTGGGGTAGCCCTCAGACCATCTTCTCCAGCCAACCAAGCGCGTCGAAGCTGAGATGTCCGAACTAGGCATGCCATAGCCACGGCTCCTCGGTATGCCTTGCCGCCAGGCACAACGACTGCTCTACCTTCAGGTCGAGCAGGTACAACCGGTTCTGGGACCTCTTCACCTTGTCAAGAAGTCTCTGCTCTCGGTCCCTGATCCTAAGGACACCGTCCTTGATCAGTACCTTGCTACCACGCTCATCTAGCTGGCCAATGCTGATGATGCTCGAGCGCAGTTGTGGGATGTAATATACATAAGTTAGCATGCGGTGCTCCCCGTTCTGGCACCTGAAGATGATAGTGTCGCACCCTTGGATTGCCACCCGTGAGCCGTCACCAAACTTCACCGTACCAGTAACATCGTCGTCGAGCTCGGAGAAGGCTTCCTTGGAGCCCGTCATGTGGTTGCTGGCACCAGAGTCCAGATACCACCGCTGCTCCTGGTCGGCGCCCACACGTCCAAGGTGGACATGGGCGCGTGGTTCATCGATGTTGATAGCCTTCAGGGTCTTCCCAGACCCTTCCACCGCCATCACCTTCACCTTCTCCTCGACCTCGACGTCGTGCAGTGCACATAACGTTGCCATTAGGATAGTGGCCTCATCCTCATCATCGGCTTGCGCTAGATGAGCCTCAGCCCTCTTTCTCCTGCTTGCGGTTTGGACACTCCCATGCCCAATGGCCCATCTACCCATAGTGCCGACAGGCGTTGGGGTCAACCTGCTTCTTCTCCAAAGAAGCCTTGCCGTGGCGTTTGCCATCGCCACCGTGGCTGGAGGAGGCTGCCTTCCCGGAGTTCCTCAGAGCAGCCCACTCTTCTTCTATCAGCAGCAGTTTGCCGCTGTCCTTTGTTGCTGTCGCCTGCTCTAGGCGCTCGTCCACCGCCCGCAGATGGCCTATCACATCCTCAATCGTGAGGGTGGACAAGTCCAGCATCATCTCTATGGAGAGAGCGATCTGGATGTACTTTGCCGGCACGGAGTGAAGGTACTTGGAGATCGTCTCCTCTTCGTCGATGGTGACGCCCTAAAGAGCGTCTGTAGGTGGAGGGAGAAGTCCTTCACCGATCCACCATCCTTGAACTTGAGGTTGGCATACTCCTGCTTCAGAAGCTAGGCCGTCGCCTTCTTTGCGCGGTCGAAACCGACGCGCATCGCCGCAATGGCCTCCCACGCCTCCTTAGCAGAGCTATTCGCCCCCAATGGCTCCCTGTACTCCGCCAGTACAGCAGCGAGGATAGCCTCCAACGCTGACATATCATCTTCCTCATTGTCGGTGCCCTTTTCAACAGCATTCCAGAGCTGTCGGGCTCTGAGCTTGACTTTCATGGTCACCGACCACTCTTCATAGTTGGTGCGAGTCAGCGTTGACCAACTGGTGCCGCTAACCTCCCGCACCGTGCGAACAACGACCTCCGATCGTGGCTGGGCATCCACAGCAGTGCCACTGCTGTCGCCCATCTCCGAACCGTTCGTCATTGCCAGCGGTTAGTCCGGCGATGTCGCTCGTACGGCTTTGATACCACTTGTTGGCCCACAGGATCACCGACTCAGGTGAGTCGACCACTCACCAGTCTTGCCGAGTACCCGCTAGTGTTGCCGAACACCCACTAGCCGTGCCGACCACGAAGAAGCGTTGTCCGTCCCCACACACTATGGCTAGAGGTAGAAGAAGGGAGAATAGAGCGTACACATACAGCAGAGACACCAGCGTTGGCCGGAGCCCTATATACGAGATGGCAAATCTGAACTCTCTTTGTTGAGTTACAGTGACAAACTATATATACAACTCTATACATCTAGTTCTAGTACAGCTGCCATGTTGCAACAGTAACTAGATAATACAGCAGGGTTGACTCTGTGCCGGCCTCTGCATGTGGCTACAGTACTACAGGTGAGCCGTGCGGCGCCTGCACCTACAGCGGCTACAGTATCACAGCAGAAGGCCTTTTCAGCGCCGTCTTTCTTTGCTGTGTGTTTACAAAAGGTAGCAGTAGATTATCTAACAGTGTGAAAGGAATTGATTTCCTAGTCCGTGTTGTCATTGTCAACAATAACACCGCTATGTATAAACTGAGCTGAAACTGTAAGCTGTCTAGAATTCAATGTAAAGGAAAGATGCGAGTAGCAATAAATTCAAGTGTTTCACAACGCAAAGAATACAGTTCATATATAGAGCTATCTCACAGGATGGCAACTTAAGGCAAATGGCTTAAGATGTCTACGTCTCACAGTAAAAATAAAATAAAGCAGCGACATACCACTAGGATGCGATTGTTAACGATAAATAAACTACTGAGGTCAACGTCATTCCCGCTTGCATCCTGCACGCACGCAACAAGCAAAAGACATTTGTTAGACTCCCTCTTCAAAATCGGATCCTGCAGCAGCTACTCTTCAATGGTCGACAGTCTCCAGGTTACCAAGGCCCTGAATCAAATCAATTCCCGGCCAACACGAAATCAAATCGAGCAATTCAAAAGAGGGGGGGACGGGGAAGGATCCATTGGAGAGCACCGTTCTTTAACGCAGGGCACGCGAAAGGTTTAGGGCCTAGGCCAACATGAGCATCAGATGCCACCGCCGCACGTCCTCCTCGATGCATCCGATAGTGGTTGCCGGATCTCGTGCCGTCCTCAACGGATCCGGCCATCGCCGACGGATCTCGTGCCCTCCTTGACAGATCCGACCATGGCTACCGGATCCATGCCTCCGCTGCTCCACGATGTGAAGCGCCCGTGGGATGCAGGCTGCCCACTGCTGGGCCTCGACGAGGATGACGAACGCCGTCAAGCTCATAGGGTTTCTCTTAAGCGGGGGGCGGCGACTGCGGGAGGAGATAAGTGTCGGGAGTTCGGGACTCGGGAGGCAGTTTCTCTTAAGCGGGTTTTGGGCTTAAATTTTTACCGGTATCTATTTTTGCCGGTTTATTTCACACGCCCGTTCCTCTCAAAAACAAAAATTTCACCCGCCAAATTTTGCCGCCTCATTTTCCCAGAGTTTAGCTCACGGTTGGCTGCCATGTTTGTTGTTTTCTAAATTTTAAAAAGCCATACTCCCTTTGTTTCAAATTATAAGTCGTTTTTGATGCCAAAGGGCACCTAGCTCAAACGGTTAGGTGACCCAGCGGCACTCCTCAGGTCCTGGATTCGACTCTCCGTGGGAGCGAATTTCAGACTGAGGTTAAAAAAATCCCCTCGCCCGTCCCCATGCGCCAAAGCGCAGTGGAAGGCTCCGGCCCGGTTCTCACAGGGTTATGGCACCTCCTGCGTCAGGATAGGGGCGGGGGCTCGGGGGTTTTCTCGATCTATGTGAGAAGATCCTTCTTCTTAACGAAAAACCCGGGGACCGTCGTAACCCCCGCAGGTCGAGTTTTTTTTATAAGTCGCTTTGATTTTTCTGGCACAACCAGTTTACTATGTATCTAGCATGATGTATGTCTAGATATATAGTGCATTGGATATACCAAAAAAAATTAAAACGACTTATAGTTTGGAACAAAGGAGTGTAATTAAAATATACTGTGCACTTATATACACATGTCAGTAATTTAAGAATCCTATATATATTTGTAACAACATGAGCAAGTTTAACTTGCAACAAAATACTTTGAAGTGGAGGTCAAATGAAGCATATGACTAGTTGACTACCTTAATTCGATTTTGTTGGTGAAACGTTTGTGTGCAGTTACGAGGATATATTTTGACTTTAATACATACATACATAAAGAATTGTGGATGGTTTGACGTTAATTTTCTATTTCTAAATAATATTTAATATAACCTTGATTCCTATCTTTGTCACTATAGTCTAATTTTTTTTTGTGGTTTCGTATTATTTTGGTGCCGTGGGATGTTTACCTCTATCTTTTGCTTGCAGTTTTGCTCCTTTCAAATCACACGCCAATACTCAACACTAGGGCTGGATAACAAGCTACCTTGACTTGGCTCAGCTCGTTCTAGCTCATTAAGACAACGAGCTAGCTCGCCTCGATTCATTATCTTAAGACCCTCCACAATGTGTTCTCTGAGTGGTGCCCAAAAAGAGATAAGATTGGAGCACCACTCTTACCACTGTGAGTAGCGATTCTAACTCTGAGTGATGCTAGAAAAAAGAAGAGCGGTGCTACACCATACATCCGTCCGTCTGCTGTGTGCACACTGGGAGCTTGCAAAGCCGGTTGAAGCTATTTTTTCAGGTTCTCCTCTCTCCTCTCTGTGCGAAATATGTGACTTTGTGTTTGTGATGAAGCTGTTGCACCGAGGGACCGTTCGGCGGATGAAGCTCTAAAACTGCTTTGTGAAGTCGCTGCTGAAGCCTTGCCAAATTTGCAGGCGAGCTAAACAGGTGGGAGCGCTGCCTCTTGCCGATGACAGAGCTGATGGATCCGGTCGTCTGTTTGATTTTTTTTGGTTTGTGAATTTTTTTGTTCTAAAATATTTTTATGTGTATGTATATGTAGTAGTACAATACCTAGGTGTTTCAGTTTAATTTGGATTCTTCGTCGATGAAATATCAGTGATGACCAACATGCGGAGTCTCAGGTGTTGGTTAGCTTTCCTCAATTTCAATTTGGGTTTAATTTGGATTTTGTGAGATCTTGATTCCCCAATCGGGTTGTGTCTCTATCTTTCTTGGACGTTCTATATGATAGCCGTGTGTTTTCATATGTGAGACTCTTGTAGGAACGGAACCCGAGCCATGGACAGTAACAAAACCGTGAGCCGTGGACGGTAACAAAACCGTCATAAAAACGTGTACGAATGTGGGAGGCCAGACCAAACTAAAAATATGGTAGAAATTTTGCCTCTTTAATATTAGCTATAGATAAATGATTGAATCAATTTTAATAAAGTTGGGCTATTCACAAAATAGATACATCTCTCGCGTAGTTTCATATAACTATACGAGAGATATATCCATTTATGAACAATGAGATATATGTATTTATGGACAATGCACAATATAATTTTGTTAAAATTATTTGAATTTTTTATGAAATGACTATACACCAAAAACATGTTGTCGTGCAAGTGTATAGAATTTTCTAACCAAAATTAGGTGTTATTATAATTTTTCCAGGTAATTCCACAAAAATAATTACAATAATATCAAAATTCGGTTATACAAATCTACAAACTAGGAGTCTAGCACAGTGACGTATTTTGGGCTCATAAGCTTTTCATAAAAAGTTCAATCTATTTTGATAAAACTGCACTACATCTTATTCACAAATATATATATCTCTCACATTGTTTCATATATGCAAGTTTATAGAAGTTGGCCAAACCTACCTGGTTGAACCAACCATCTCGTGCGTCCGATTTTGGACGCCTGGTAGGTAATGCCTTGCAGGGCTGTATCCAAACACACACAAAATATATCATCCGCGTGAAATTTTCCTAATTAGTCAGTTAATATAATTTTTTTATAAAAAAAGTAAAATCAGAAAACAATCCTTATTTTTCTCTCAACTATTTTTGGCCGACTTCTTCTGAGGGCGTTCTGGAGTTTCTCCCGCGTCTCTTGGCCTTGCATCCCTAATAAATTTTTTTCTCCTCTCCCGTGCGGCATCCTTGCGACGGTCCCAAAATTCCTCTCCCCTCCCGCGTTTCCTCCCCAAAAGACCAAAACTAATCACCGCGCCCGTGCGTTTCCTCCGGCTATTCGGCAGGACTGAAAAATAAGCCAAAATACTGTTCCGGCTAATTGTTGTGAGGGAAAAATACTATTCTACCTGAAAACACTGTGCAGATGAACATTGTTTTCGTGAGTACGCTGGCCAGCCCAGCCCCAGCTGGCCAGCCAGCCGAACACTCCGACATGCATGTCCCTTCCCAGATATTTCTCCGCCCTCGCCTGGACGTCTCCATCTTTGTTTCTCTCTCGATCTGTTCCCTCTCCCCTCGCAGCGTGCCACCGTTCCTCCAACGAAGCGGCTTTGGACGCGTGGGGTCTGCAGCCTGGCGGCGTTCGGTGGGAGCGGCTGCGGCGGGGGGCGCGTGGTCTGCAGCATGGCGTGCCCCCGAGCCGGCCCTCCTCGAGGACCCGACAGGCAACGCCCTCTTCGCTGCGCCCAGTACAGTGGCTAGAGGCCACGGGGTGGCTCTCCAGGGGAGGGCTCCGGCTACCGCGCGTGCGCCCCTCTCTCGATCGTCGCCACCGCGACCCCCGGTAGCCCGTCGCTAGTGCATCCCCGCCTCCCCGGTGGTCGGCGACTGGCAGCTCATCTCCCAGCAGCCGGCGATGCATCTCCCTCGACTTTTCTCCTCATCCCACGTCGACGAAGGCATAGGCTGGCCCAACGAGCAGATCCAGCCCGGTGACACCTCCACGGCTCATCCCCGTCCCTAATCCTAGCATCCGCGTCGTCTTCCTTCTTTTGTCCCCAGGAGTCCCAAGACCCCAAGGTGAGCCCCAATCTAACACCTCTTGTCATGGACATAGTCAGCAACTTGTTGCGTGCTGTATACTTCCATTCCTATGTATTCTTTGCATTGCTATCTTGTTCATTTGCTGATTGATTAGAAGTGGTTTGTTAATTAATTTCTGAAATCCAATCGATTTGGAAGAGTAGTCACCTCAGTGTTTGATATAGGAGTATTTAATGAAAGTCTGTTTGATCCAGCCATCACGTAGCTAGTGAGCAGTCGTATGAATATTTGTTAATTTGTGTAAAGAAGACTAGGAGCTGAAATAGGATCTAAGAGCATCTCCAAGAGTTCCCTAAACATCCTCCTAATCCTTGTTTTTTAGAAAGATGGGGAAAACCCCTCTCCAACAACTCCTAATATTTACTCCTAATCTTTTAGGACTTGGGAAATTCCTTCCCCCTTCCGTGTAACTTTACGCGGACAAAGCCGCGCACGGAGACGCCGTTCCCGCGGAGTCCTTCTTCCCGCGCCTTTCCCACCTTCTGGCCCTGGAACTCGTAGTGGTGCGACGCCGCCAGTGTCTCGGCCGCCTTGCCGACGAGGAGGACGGCGACGAGCTGCAGCCCCTCGGTGAGCTCCCCGCCGCGTCGCACGAATTCGACGAACCGGTCCACGAGCAATGGGCTGATGTACATGACCGAGAGGTGCGCGACGCCGAGCACGGCGGTGAGAAGGAACTGCGGCCAGAAGGAGCACAGCAGCGCGGTGAGCACCGGGCACTGGGGCTTAGATGAACCCGGCACCGGTGCGGGCCAGTTGGAGGTGAACAGCGAGTACGCCACCTCGGCGGTGTCGGGCGGCGCCACGGGAGGAACTTGGTCGGCCGCGAGCGTCACCCTGGAGCCCTTGGCGATGAGCGGGTTGATCCTTGTCGGTCTTGTTTCCCGGCGTGGAGTTGATGATGATGGAGTCGTCGCAGCCCCGGACAAAGCAGAAGTGCCACCGAGGCGACGACGAGCGCCTGCTTGCTTTCGTGCAGGCTGTTGGTTGCCTGCTTGCCTGGTTGCTACCCGCCTGCTTGCTTGCATGGTACTGTATGCATGCTCTGTTTGCTTGCCTGGTGGCCGGCCGTTGTTGCCTGCTTGCCTGGTTGTCGATTGCTGGGCTAGGGCAACACGAAGGAAAGGAGGCGGCGACGACGTACCTATGCGCGAGCACGAAGAAGTCCACGCGAAAACTGGACTGAAAAAAAACTCAAATGGGGCCAAAATTTGATTTTTTTTAAAGTGAAATATTAGGAACTATTGGAGATGATCCTCTTTTTTTCTCCCAATACTTTTTAGGAGTTGGAAAACATGGAGTTTTTAGGAGGAATATTTAGGGAACTCTTGGAGATGCTCTAAGAATGAAGTCTGCGTCCCATTTATCCACAATAGAACATACTAGAAACATAGGTACGGCTTTGCCGCGCCCTTCAGAGTGAATCAGCCCATGCTCTTTGGAGTGAATCAGCCCACACATGTTTTATTAGTGAGAGAGTGATGATTTATTTTGGATATTTCATCTATACTTATTAGCTTATGATGCATGGAAATGCAAACAAAATATTTGTGGTGTTCAGCTCTACTGATCTCAGAAAAAAGCACAAAAGGCCGATGAGGTGAGCTTGTTGCCAACTATGAATTCTTTTCCAGTTCAAAGTTCAAACCTTCTAAGAGATCACTAAAAGTAAACAGGGTCCATCTGGACAAAATCAATGGAGTTTGGTTGTGGAACTGCCAAATAGATATGTTACTATGTTAGAAAAATGCTCGTGCTGCCAAACAAATATGTCTTTTCTATTGTCAGTATTCACATGAGGGTGCATGTTGTGATCTAACGGTTAGCGAGTTAATGGGTGACGTGGCCTGATCCACGAGCCCGCTTTTGGTAGCAGGATTCTATATAGAGATATGCTCTCCGACAATTTATATCACCATTAGTATTTTCATTGCAGGCATGGTGCTTCTAGGACCAGGATTATCGTTCCCACCTCTGCTAAAATTGATTTGTCTGACTGAACATTGTAGTATGAGAATTTCTAGAAACAGATATTAGGATCATTCCAGAAAACAGGTGGACACAGAAATCCTAGCCTGGTACAAGACAATAGAAATTACTATTTAGAAACACATTCAGCATTATAATTCATTAATAGAATTACAATGGAGTGAATTCACTTATCTAGTTAACTACTAATGCCGAGACACAAGATTTAGCATTATGATTAATTAATGACATTATAAGTGTTGCTGCTGTGATATAGTAACTGTGGTGGATTAATTAGCAGCTCCTTTTTTGCTTGATGCATAAGCATGGCAAATTAAAATTTGAACTTGATCATCACTGCAGGTAGAGTTCGGTCAATTTTGATTGAAGATCCAGCTATCCAAGTAGTTATGCATCGGAGACTTCACTTATCCATCATATGCCTTTTCTGATCTGTCAACCAAACTGACTCTTGTCATGGTTTGGTGGGTTTTTTTTGTAGTGACAGAGCTGATGGTCAAGTCAGAGATCAGTTTGTCCTTATTTGTGTGCTCCAAGTAATTTTGTCTTCCTCCTGGCTTGCCCTCATTAATTCTATCTTCCTCTGTGCTGCAGTAAACTTTGATTTCTTTTCCTTTTCTGATTATGAGGTAATGCCAATGAGACACGGAGATGGGGGAGAGTGTCGTATGCCATGTTTTCCTATTCTTCTTGGCCAATGAATTAATACTGAATATTGTTTTGCTCTTGCATCGAGAATCCACATGGATGTCTTCAACCTATGATGTCTTCGAACCTGCTTTCATATGTGGATATTCTATGTTGTTTTTTGATGAAATTGAGACGGTCACTACCGTTATTTGCACTTCACATGTAATTGAAGTTTTTTGGGTCACATGATATGATTTTTGGTGCTTGTATGGTTGCAAGTACTAGAGTTTTCTTGTTTTTTTGGGGAGCTTATGGTTAACCTGTTTTTTGGGGTCACATAAGACAAGATTTGCTATCAGGCAAGTGTGGTTGCAAATAATTGAGATTTTTATGGTTCACTCCTTGATTTTGGAAGATATAAGAGAGGTTTATTCATGTCCTGACATGGGCCATAGGGTGTGAACTTCAATCATCATTCGGTTAGTATTCAAAGTTCATGATTGGCATCACTTTACATCGAAATAGTTTGCATAATAACTTCTAAATCTTTCATGTTTGTGGTATGATCTTGATAGTGAACTGGTGGATCTATTATACTCCCACAAGAAAACCTGTTTTTTAAGATTCTTCTAAAAATAATCATGTCCACAAGAGATTGTTTCACTTGTTCTTATCCATATTTGTTATACTAAGCTCATTACTACATGTTGCAGATTTTAGAAGACGTTATAGCCATACTGATGCTGCTAAGGCAACCACTGCTTTGGCATCCCATGCCTTGAGTGATGGTGTTGTATTATAGTAGATGACCTTGTGCGGGATGTTAACTTAGAGCTCCATGGAGTCCCTCAAGTGCCCTCACTACCTCCTGGCTCCTCATAGTTCGCATGTGGCATGTTTGAGATGCATGATTGGACATGTTAATGCAGTGATTCTGGGCTTTTGATGCCTCTTGTTCATTGGAGGTGCCTATATCCTGCAAAAAACATTGTATTGCAAGAACAAGTCTTGCTTGTTCAGTGAAATTTGCTTATACAATTTAAGTTTGTTTGAAAAATGAATTTTATTGTTATATAAAAGCTTGGATCGTTTGAACTATATAATCTTTCACGTTTAATCATAATTAAAATCCTTTAATTAATGGACTATGGATTAACGAAGACTGGAAAATGAATCGTTATTTTATCCTTAGCTGCATAACTGAAAGACAATGTTTTTTCTAGCCTGAAGAAATATAAGGGTGAAAGTGGGGTAGTTGGTATGGAACTTGGAAGTTGGTATGCATGAAGTTATTGTAAACTTGGCATAGTGACATGATGTTTAGAACCACTATATATATGCTTCTCTACTTTTTGTTATCTAAAGTTAGCCTTCGATGTTGTATTACTAGCTACTAGTATTTTCAATCGCTCATTTATGAACGTTTCAGTATTATTTGATGATGCACATAGCATATTAGAGTACACCAACTTATTGCAAAGAACACACTAGCTTATAGCAACACAAAAAAACCACGGCAATAATAACATGTTATTGCATCCATCTAGGATTAAAGTTGAAATAAGTACCTAACAATTGCAACACCACATAAGATTTTTGCAACCCCCACAAAACCGTGGCAATAGGAACATGCTACTGCAATCATTTCAGAATTCTTGTTGCAATAGCCGCCTAGCAATTGCAAAACCACTAAAGATTATTGCAACCCAGAATATCCATGGCAATAGTTACAAACAAAAGCAACCAAATCCAATATAGTTGCAATAACACCAAGTAATTACAACAAAAATCAATACTAATGCAACTCCAACGCGCCATGACAATAATACCAACTAATTGCAACACAATTCTAAAATGGTAGCAGTAGCACATGCCTGTTGCAACGACAAACCCACATATATTGCAACACATTTAGTCCATTGAATTATAGGCATATATTACAACTATTTTATGGAAAGGTTGCCATATGCCCGTTACTACCAAATTAGTAGTGTTGCAATGGTGTGGTGTGGCATTAGAGGGAAAATGAGTGATAATCGAATCAACTTTCTTAATCGCAAAATATCCTATTCTAGATCATCTTATATAATTGTAGGGTCGAGTAAGTAGAAGGTTTGACCAACATGTTCCTCAGTGTACATGTTGCTCTCATGATTTTGCTCCATCTAATTTTATGTACTTTTTTGTTTTCAGATTTTCATCTTCAGTGTACATGTTCCTCTAGTGATAGCTCCATATGATTGTACTTTTTTGTTTTTGGATTTCTTCCTAAGTATACACGTGTCCTCTCGTGATCTTGCTAAATCTACGCTGTCTTCAGCATGGCCCAATAGCTTCATAATAGGCTCTGACATCTACACGACTTTTTCAATCGTCTACTCAGTCCTGCTGGGGTGTCATGTGAGGACCTTGGTACAATTGTCTATCAGCTAGGATGACACCAGTACAATGCCTTTTGCCAACCACGAATTGGAAGATGATCCACATGTATATGTTTCTCTGTAACACTTTGGTTGTAACATTATGTTGTGTTACTATAGGGAATCTACTTGTCACACATTTTACGTGTTCCATTTATGTGTTACAATATAGTACCACTTTTGTAATATTTTACTTGTAACATTAACTTTTATGTTACTATAATCGTTGCCAGTAACATATTTTTATAAAAAATGTGTTTTGTGTTACAACCCAAGTTTGTAACACATAATTTGTGTTACTATGAAATTTCTTAGGAACACATTGATGATGTGTTACAAGCTAGTGTAACAATACCCTTGTTTTGTAGTAGTGCTTGAGCTTGTTTAGACAAACCTTGAACTTCCTGGACATCATTATTACCAGCTGGTGTTGCTTCTTGATGGCTGGTACCGACTTGATTAGTCCATTGGGTCGACGGGTGTGGAATGTTGTAATAAGCCGGCCCAACTTGACCATGGCTGGTACCGACTTGATTAGTCCATTGGGTCAACGGGTGTGGAATGTTGTAATAAGCCGGCCCAACTTGACCAACTGGCAACCCATGAATCGCGCTCTTTCATGGTGTTGTGGAATGTGTCCAAGAAAGTTTCATTATGGCTTGATATGGCATCACGAATAGATTTGTCTACAATTTCCGTAAAGAAACGCCTGTTTTCAGTTTCAACTGTATCTGTCTGCCTGTATAATAGAACTCTTGGTAGTGAAAATTTCTAAACAATTGTGTTGTCACGTGTTTCGGAGTAGGACAACAAACACTTGTTCTGAAATTCTTCTATAGCTTTGCTGATGATATCTTTATCTCCATTAGGTAGATCTTCATAATGCACCATGAAGATGTCGTTGTTGTTGTGAACCGCCATGACGATTGTGGGGTCCCACTAGGCGTGCCAGAAACGTGTCGGCACAAAATTTTGTCCCGTGTCGAGGG